ACCCACAAGAGTCAGCTATCTCACATTGTAATTAAATACAAAGTCTCACCTGCTCAGAGCTAGGGCACAGACACAGTGTTGGTGAGAAATAAAGAAGGCCACCTGAAAAGTAGTATTTCTTCCCCTACTACTGTAGCACACTGACAATTCAAAAACCACTACAGGAAGCATAATAAAAATAAGTGAGAGAGAGAGAACACTAAATTGATTGAATTAACCTTTGTCATGTTTGATTCAATAAAGCTTCCTCTTTAGAAATTATCTAAAGCTGACGGAGAATTTCCAATTTATCACAGAACGTGGCATCAAAATGATACCGGCCGTGGAGAAATACTTCTAAATATTCTTATCTCATACATACCTCAATTATCTTTCCTCCCTTCTAGGATCAATTAATTAAGCTAGAAAAATCAAATCTCACTTTTGCACCACCTGCCTTTCCCAAAAGATAATTTCAGTTCTAGCACAACAGCCTTGGTTGCTTTTTAACCCAAGAACTGTTGGGTTTGAGTCCTGAAACAGAAAAGAATATTTTTTGTCACAAATATACTCCAGATAAATGTGATTCATAGTATTTTATAAAATGTTTCCGCTTGACAGAAAAACAATAAATATCAGGAAAAGTGTCCTCAGCTGGATTACAGAATGGTAAATACATCTCAATGGCATTTTTATTGTTGTTGTTATTGCTTGACAGAGTAAAAATAGAGGTGTCTTCAAAGGTGGTTTTCCCTGGAATAAGCAACTCAGCATAAAGAGAATATATATGCTGAAAAGGTTACAGTCAGTGTATAATAACTGTATATATCGTATCTCTTCATTTACAATGTCCTGCCTCTCCTAAGAAAGCTCAGGTTTTAAATTTTTCAGACTTCTACAGCACTTTCCCCAATGGGGCCCAGAATGGAGATTTTGGATGCCCCTTTAAGTATGAGCAATCAAAATTTACACAACTGAGTCTGCTGTTGCCTGCAGGAAAAACTATTTCTGCCTTCCTTCGAGGCCAAGAGGTAAAGCTGAATGTTGCAACTTTAGGTGCAGGAGGCAGTTTATGGCTGTTCTTTCCTGTTTCAGGCAGTATCTGCCAGGGCTAAAGAGAGAAAAAGACAATCTCCTGAGCATGTCTTCGCTTTCCCTCACTCTGATGAGGAGGTTGCGTCTTTCTACTCCCTTCCGTCTGAGCAGAGTCCCATCCCTTGAGCTAAACCTGATTCATCGTGATCTCCCCGGCGCCACCTCCATCTGATGGGAGATGAAGCACCTATTCGGCCCCAAATAGCTCATTCATACCGCCCGTTTCTCTTGAATAAAGTTTCAGGCGGACCGTCAGTTTGCCGAGGTAATAAGTTTTCACAGCCAGGGGAAGGTGAGCGCCAAAGATTATTAATAGTGTTACTTGATTAGTTAAGGGAAAGATAAATGTGACACCGCCACCAAAATCCCTGAATATCTGATACCAGCGAGGAGTGGGTATCACCTGCCAAAAATAGAGCAAGAGAGATTATATAAGTGGGGTTCCTACCCCGAGTTCCACCTCTTTTTGACCACCTCCGTATCTAACATCCTTTTCAAGCGCTCTTAGGAGAGATCCAAAAGGTAAGTAGCAAGAAAATGTTCAAACTTCCACAGCAAACGTGGATTCGCCCGCTCCCGGCAAGAACCCAGGACCTTCTCCCGAAGGAAAGCAGATAAGGACATCTTCCATCAATCCGACCCTATCCCCCTTCCCACAAACAAAAGCCCAGAGACAAAGAGGTGCAAATCTCCCAAACGCTGAGGAATGGCTTCCCGCAGAGAAGACTCCAAGCGAGAAGAAAGGGCCATTAAAAGGAGGAAATGGGTGAACACATTGAGGGGGAATGAGGAGAGGAGGAGGGGAGAAAGTGAGAAAATGGAAATAACAAAACAAGGAAGGAGAGGGGAGAAAGTGAACGAGGAGGCAAGCAAGGACTCTGTCAACAGAATTTACTGAAATGCTCAGTCGTGAAACAAAGGCAAAAAAACCTCCAAAACACGTCGCAGAAATGACATCTCTCTCCACGCACAGACGATCGTAAGCGATAGGATGAAGTCGCTCTCTTTGGTGTGGTCATTAGGAAGATGAAAGAAAATGTGTCACCCTTTTTGCAAAGGACCCCCGGCTTTCTGCTTCAACTTTTGGTGTAGGGGGCTTCTTGCAGTTCACGAAATGCTCCCTGAATTGTTTGCTTTTGACGAGGGCGGGTTGATTTCTACTTAATTTACTTGATCGCTTAGTTAGTAAGAATATCATCATTCTGGTGCTGGTGGAAGGGGGAGTTGATCTATACGAAAGCTTCTGTGCAGACAACTTGGAAATCCACGGTGTGGATTTTACAAATAGTTCGGGCAGGAAAATTGGCAAAATCTCAGAAATAAAGAAAAACGCGTCATTCATCTCTCGGGGCTGATGAGAAAAAGGTGAAGGGGCGAGTGTGAAACTGCCAATTCGTGAAACGCCTTTTATATTAGAATACCATAGCAGTTTTGACTAAAGCTTGGTGGTTAAAAGCTTCTAGAAGTTTGCTAGCCGTCCTTAAAACGGATGCGCTGCTGAGAATAGAGACGGGCCTCAGCCTCCCCTCCGTGTCAGATCCCCGGCAGTTCGCCCCCTAACCCTGTATGTCGCCGCTTTCACTTCTCTGGCCGCGGCCACTCCGGCCCCTCGACTTCTGAGCAGGGGCCGGGGAGCTGGCGGGGGTGGTGGTGTGGAAATGTTATTTTCGCTGGACAAACGGCTCCACCTGATCCGAAGCCTCATTTTTCCGCCGCCTCTCACTTTTCGCCTTCACAGCACGATCGGGCCGTAAGGGTCTGACAGATCCGATGACGGGGGGGGGGGGGGTTCGCGCGTTGTTAGGGACGCGGAGGGAGATGCCGGGCTCCCGTTCCCGGGACGCGGGCGCGGAACGCGCCTCCGCCCGGTTTGCTCGACCCCGAGGCCGGTTAACCCGCCCGGCGGCTGAGCATCGCCCCTGCCAGCCACTGGCTTGAGTTACCTCCAAGGGCAGCCTTCCAAATGTGCTCTGCCTTGTCAGCAGAGCGGGGGTGACAGCGAAACCCGAGTCACCCGCAACGAGAGCATCTTCACTGACGGGTGGTCGGGGGGCGTCCCTGTTTGTAAGGACCTAAAAGGAGGCTCTGTGGCTCCGAGAACGAGGAAACCTCAGCAAGGGGTTTGCAAAAGGTTCGTTAAGAAAGGCAGTTGTGGGGGCTGAGGCCCAGCTCCCTTGCAGGCTGCAGCGGGCTGGACGCGGCGAAGCAGGGAAGGGGCCGGCAAAGCCGGATCGGGCCAGAGGCATCTGCCCTGGAAACAAGCAGGGGACTCCTCTCCCTTCCCCCGGCTAAGGAAAAGTAAAGGGACGCCAATTACACGAGATCGGGCGCATTGATTTCTCTTGTAGATAGCTGGATATCGATGGGTCTCCATTTAACCTAAGCGTAAGCGATTGGGTTTTAATATGTGCTACACGAGGCTTTTTCGACTCCGTTCTCCAAGGCGAACTCCGCTAAAGCAAGAGACCCGAGTAACCCGAGTACCCGTCTTTACGGTACCCTTTCACGTCCCAGCTCCGAAACAGCGGGGGCAGATGAGTGAGAACTACCCACGCGGGACGATGCGTGGAGCCATCCCGTGGGGCTACAATTTGTCTCGGGTCAGCATCCTAGCGCACCGATCCTCTTTCCCTGGGAAAGATGCGCTCAGCCTGGGGAGAGGGACTCGGCTCCCCCATCCGTCTCCTTGTTTGTCCTTGGAGAAAACTCAGCCTCTCTTGTATCTCAGGAAATACAAGGAAGCGGGGGGGGGGGGGGGGGGAATTTCCAACGAGAGAAAGCGGCAGTCCCTCCCACGATGAAAAGTCGCTGTTTAAAAAAAGAAAAGGGGGGGGGGAAGTAAAAAAAAAAAAGGGGGGAGACCCCCAATGTCACCTCCTCCTCCGTCCTTCTGCGCTCAGTGCCACGCTAATGACTCACCCGTTACAGCTGAACTTGGGCCGCCGAGAAAAAGCTGGGGGCCCGTCGTCCGTTTAAAAGCCCCGAGGCACTACTGACAGAGCCACCCGAGTTTTTGCAGCAGCCGCCGCCTCCTGCGTGACAGGACCCCCCCGTTCGGGACAGAGGGGTGCGATGGCATCAGCGGGACCGGGCTGTACCCGCCGGTGGCAGCGCGGGGATCCCGCTGCCAACCGCCTGGCTCTCCCGAAGCGGAGATGCCAGTCCTCCTGCAGAGATCTGCCCTACTACTGGGCCCTCACCTTGGCTAGCTCAGCCGAATGGCTCCTGCCCAAAATCTGGGAACGAGTTGGACTACTCACCACGTTCCACGTGAAAAAAAATGGGCATCGTTTCTTGGAGAAAAAACAACGCTAGAAAATACATTACGATTCCTAACTGGGAGTTGGTGGGTTTTTTTGTTTTGTATTTTTTTTTTTTTTAGTTTTTTTTGGGGGGGGGGATTGTTGTTTTTTGGTTTTTGTTTTTTGGGGTTTTGTTTTGTTTTGTTTTGTTTTTTTGACGATGCCGGGAAGCGCCCGGGCCCGCCCGAGAAGCCCACCACCGCACAGGAGCTCCTCACGAGCATGTTGTCACCTCGCACGTCGTTTCACCAGATCATACCGTGGAAGATCCTGCAAGCATATTGTGCATTACAAACGGGGATCTGTAGGACTCGCAGGGATGTGATAATTAATTCAGCGAGGATGATGCTTAATATGGACTGGCCCGAAAGAAACGAGGTCTAAAAGGAATCTGTGTGTGAAGGGGAGGGGGAAGGGAGAAGGGGGGAGACGTTTAAAGTGTATAAGGAAAATGTTCAAAAGCTACGTTACATTTGCTTCCCGACCTCAAGAGCAGCTCGAAGCTTGGCATATGCTGCAGTTCCTCGCTCATCACCGAATCTAACTGGTAAAGCTTGTCCTGACTTATTAAAGGAGAAGGCTCTGCTCTGCACCACTAGCTCTTCCACCGCACCCGAGAACTTGACCTTGGCACAACTCTTTCTCCAGCCGGTATCACGACAGACTCTGGCACCGCTCCAGTAAGGCTTAGGCTCCAACCTCCCAGGGAGCGACCCCCTACTCGCGTTCTCCCCCACCCCGGTCCCCGCAAAGGCACCCCCGTCCCCTCTCTTTAGCCGAGCCCTCGCGTCTGTGGACTCCTTGGCGCTCTGCAAACTGGGGAGCGACAGCCCACGGCACTTATCCACGCAGAGCTCCGGAGCTGGCGCGGGTCCAGCCGCTCCCGGTGTGCCATCCCCACACAGCACTGCAGCTTTGGTCATATGAGCAGAAATGATGAGAAAAGCACTTTTTAATCTTTTCGCACTTGCTTCCCTGTTCAAACAGTTGCAGGATGGCTATGACTGACGTGCTCAGCGCTGAGGATATCAAGAAGGCTGTGGGAGCCTTTTCAGGTGAGTGTCTTTTTTTTTTTTTTTTTTTTCTTTTTCTTTTCCCCCCTTTCATCTCTTCATTTTAGGATAGCAGCGCATTTATTTAAGCCTGGGGAAGATTAGAGGATCCGGCTAGACAAACTATCAAATGAGGATGTATTTTCAGAAGTGCAGTGAAAGCCTGGCAGGTTTATCAAGTACAGAGCTGCATCCTCAGCAAAGTTGCCCTGCACATAAAGAGGTGAAATATTTATTTTAAAGGAAGGCAAGCAGTAACCGCGGACACACTTTGCTTTTACCGAGAGGCTACTTTCAAAGGGAACAAAACCCTCGGCGAAGCAGGGTGGATTATATCTTCTTGTGGGATAGGGAAATCAGCCGCGGATGTCGGCAGCTTCCCACTCACCCCCGAAATTCAGTTTCAGGTATTACAGAACTGCTGTTCCTCGTTTCAAGGAGCTAAGAAACCTCTCTTTTCTTACGTCCTATGCGGAATCCCCGGGTGGGGTTTGCTTTTCGGGATGGAGCAGAAGGCAACAGTAGAACAAGCGGGTGCACTGCTCGACTGCAGAAGCTTTCTGCAGGACGAATGGCTGCAGCGGTCCGTACTGCCCCCTCAGACCCCTCCGGGTTTCAGGTATTCCCTACCCCTCTAAATCAACGCCACCTCTAAACTGACAGCAAACCCTCTTCGTGCTTACAGAGATTCGGGTAGTTAAGGTTGTCTTTCAAAGAAACGCCAGAAATCCTGCTCCGGGCTGCACGTTACCTCCTCCGCTCTCCCGAAACTACCTGGCTGGCAGAACCCCCCCCCAGGAGAGCCCCCTCTTTCTGCCCGGGTCTGGGCAATGACCTTCCCAAACAGGCAGAAGCTCAAACCCCGCTGAGCCCGACTAAACTCGGCAGCCGGAGAGTCGGAGGGACCAACAAACTGCTCTGCTCGAGCCAGCAGCTGGTTTTCTCATTAGCTTCCATTGTTCTAGGGCCATCTCCAAGTCCCGACACAGATGCAATTAGCAGCGACTAATGACAGATCTCAGTCAAGCAGATCCCGAAAGACTGAACCTCCTTAATTTTATGTCATAGGAAAAGCTGCGGCGGGAATAAGGATGCATGGGGGGAAAAAAAAAAAAAAAAAAAAAAAAAAAAAAGTCCACAGCACGTTTTGGAGGTCACTGTATCTGATTTCTAACCCACACCACAGTCGTTAGGTTACGTGGGTGGGACAAAAGCGGGTGCGGTTAAAGGACAGGAGAAGTGGAGCAGGTAAACTCATTTATCTCGGCTCCGATTTCAAGGGCTCTGGGTTGTTGTGGGTTTTTTGTGTTTTTTTTTTCTTTCTTTTTTTTTTTTTTTTTTCTCTCCCCGGCGATCGTGCTTCACAAGGTCTTGCAGGCAGCGTACAGTACAGCGCTACCCTGCAGTGTCTGAGCTTACAAATCACGATTGCACATACCTTTAGCAGTCGAAATGCAACACTGATTTCTACTAAGTCTTCAGGCAAAACGAAACAGAACTGTAATAGCCATGTGCTCCAAAACACTTCTCGTCAGTGCTAGGCTCCATGGTTGAGCAAGAGCGTTTTGGTTTTTTTTCCAGGGCTGGAAATGTCAAGTGACAGCCATCTAATAGTGAGAGTCTGCTCTTAGATGACTGGTTTGCCGTAAAACTTAGCAAAAAAAAAAAAAAAAAAAGGTTTAAGGCACTGAAATGAGACCAATCAGGGTAGACTTCAGCTCCCAATTCTATCACAGATTTCTTGTGTGACCTTGGGCAAGTCTCTGTCCCTCTGTAGCTCAGCTCTTCATCTGCAAAACAGACACACTGCTCCACTCCCCCTTTATTTCCATGAGTGTCTGTGAAGCGTGGACGATTACAGTGCGTACATCCAGCCCCTGCCACAGCTGGGCTCGACCGAGACTCCCGGGGTAGGACACGCAGCAGTATGGAAGGAAAACACGGGTATGTGTGGATACACGTTTCAATGATTTTTCTAAGCAGTTCTCTGGCTTTTCATCTCCTATAGCGGCTGAGTCTTTTAACTACAAGAAGTTTTTCGAGATGGTAGGATTGAAAAAGAAGAGCCCAGAAGATGTGAAGAAGGTTTTCCATATTCTTGATAAAGATCGAAGTGGCTTCATCGAAGAGGAAGAATTAAAGTAAGTAAAGATACATCCTTTCTCAAATAACCTCACATTAAGAGTCTGATTTCCTGTCTTCTTTTTTGACAAGACTAGATATTAGCGTGCAATTCAATCTCCTGACTAGTACTGGTGTGCAATAATCATCTGTTTGCTGGTTATATGATTTAAAGTGTGTTGGAGGTAGCTAGTTGTAACTTTTATCACAGGATTCCTGAAAGACATGGGTGATCAGATAGTTCTTCAGTCAAATGCAGTTTCAGAGTAAACCACTGCTGCTGAATGTTAAAGAAGGTCAACAACAGAAGATACAACCCTGGATTCCAAACAAATCAGTGGTACAAATAAACACAAAGTGAAATTCTTCTGGAAAAAAAAAATCTTTAATTTTTTCCATGTCACCTCTTTAGGTTTGTACTGAAGGGCTTTGCCCCCGATGGAAGAGACCTATCAGACAAAGAAACGAAGGCTCTTCTGGCTGCTGGAGATAAGGACGGTGATGGTAAAATTGGCGCTGATGGTATGTGATTAGAGGAGTAAACTTTGACAGTAACAATCTAATATTACTCTTACACACAAGAACTGAGGACATCTAGGAATTACTGGGGGCTGTGACCTTCTGAAGGGCACAATTTGGATTTAATGAAATGCCAAGTCCTGCTACATTTGCCATATACCTTGCTTGCAGGCTTTAGGGGAAACAGCAGCCGAGTGCTGACACTAGAGGGGGCAAGACTTTATAGAAACTGAGGTGGCGTTCAGGCACACTACAGCACAGGACAGAGTACCGATCCAACTTCTGCTTCAATTAGTTTAATTTTTGTGTTGATTTCAGTGGAGTGAGGATCAGGACATCGAGAGCTTAAAGATCCAGGCTTGACTATAAAACTTAGAAAAGAGAAGGAAAAAAGGCAGAGTACCAGCATTTCTACTTGATGATTAGTAAATGCGAAAGTAATGCAGTTTAGCAAAGCAATGCTCTTAAAATTCAAAGTACAGTCAGTCTGTTACAGAATTTCTATACAATAACTGTCTACCCAACTTTTTCTAGTGTTTATGTGGGTCTTTGCAGCTGAGAAAGCTTGTCACTCCCTTTTACTAAATATGAGAACTACAAGAACAGAACAGCTTTTCCTCTCAAAGCATTGCTTAAAAAATTACTGCTGTTTCCTATTCCCCTCTTGATATGGGATTTTGGGGATTAATCAAATTAGCCCTCATACAAAATTTCTCATTTTTCCTCTTTCCGTATCCCTGAGAAACACTGGAAGAGGCACAAAGAGATGCATTTCTGAATTAAATCTTTCCTCATTGCAGGAGATAGTAGTGGAAGTTTGTGGCCAGAGTACTAGATCACCTAGACAGCAGGCAATTGCTAAATTTTCAACATATTGATAAGCTATATGATAGGTTGAAATCTAAAAAATATATTTAAAACCTCATATCTCTCTGTGTTACCTGATCTCTCTGATTTGTAAAAAATATTGTCTCAAAAAAAAAAAAAAAGGCAATTAAGAAAGGAATAAAAAGCAAAATACGGTTAACTAACATAGTCTCCTAATTTAGAAGCTGAAAAAATGACACACAAAATCAGCCACTGATATATTAGTCAGGTGATATATTAGCTAAACTGCCTGTTCATAGCACACAGGCATATTGGTGACTATGACCCTGTTTGTAGACCAAGGCCTCTTAATTTCTCAGATCAGGATTATATTATAGTTGCACAGGAGCAGTTGTGAAGCATCTAGGGGAAGTTCCCGCTAAACTTTAGCAGCGGTACTTAACCCAGTGAGTGTGTCATTATTTGAAATGTCATATGCTTTATTATACGGGTCCTCCTTATTCCCATTAAAATTAGTAGCAGTGGTACTAAAATCAGTGGGCAAGATTTTCAGAAGAAAACTTGATGGAGGTAAGTAAGCTTATAGCTGATCCATCAACCTCACTTCAGATACATTTTTTGGTTATTCCCAGAAGGCTGCAAAACAAAAGCAGTATCAATTGGTATAAAAGAGCCATTGCAGAATGATTTTGCCTTATACAAGAGAATACAGCATTCACTTTTATACTTAAGATTGACCATAACTTTTTTTTTAAAGTTCAAACAATGCCTGAAAGCCAGTACATTGTAATAAAGCACTATGAAACACCTCTTCCCCTTCTCTCTTTCTTCTGCAACTTCTACTTTTCCTTAACTTTCAACTGGAATTACTCTGAATTTATACTTGATAATGAGAAGAAAACGAAGGGCTTTTTTCTTTTGCTTCTTCTGGCTATATCCCTACTGTACAGCATTATTGGTTTCTCTTCCATTTCTTAAATTTGACTCAAACAGCAAATTGTTATACCGGAAAGGCTTGAAATATATGCAAAGTTAACAACTAGGACTGTGACCAAAGGATGAGGATGACAGATACTTTCCAGCTTTTCCTTTGGTTAATAAATCTAATTTCAGATTATAACTGCCTATGTAAATAAGACACAAAGTCATGAATGTACAGCTCATTCATATTCAGTATTGCAATGCTGTATTTCTGTTGCAAACCATTTGTTTGTTTCCCTGTAACTGAATTGTGAGGCATTACTTTTATCCCTTGTTTCAAACCAGCTTTGCACATCACTAAATGATCACAAACATGCAGTCTTTCACAGGGGTTAATGTTAATTCACTAGATGGCCCTTGAACGCTGTCCCTCAGGAGCCCATAGCAGTTGTAAGAACTGATCTTCATGGATTTTCAACACCACAGAGCAATATTTCTCAGACGTATCATCACAAAGATTAATCCCAACCTAACCAGTCTTCTTCCAGTTAAGGTCTTACATTACAAACTTTCTCTTAGCTCTCATGGTTTAAACTTTTTAACATTCCCACAAGACCATTCAGCTCATAAATAGTTTTACCAGCTTACCTCCTGTCTGGTCAAGATTTTTAGTTTGTGGCTGATCTGCCAGTTTAAAACAGTTGAAAACTCGCAACCTGTTCATGCAAGACATGACCATCTTCTGTGCAATGTCAAACACCCTCCATCTTCCACTGAAGATGACGAATCAAAAAAATTGCAGGTCAAGGCCAGGTTACCTAATAAAACTACAAACATTTGCTTTCAGATTAGATTGGGAAGTGATGCTGAAGCAGCTCTGTCAGCTTCAGGACAACATTTATAAGAAAGAGCGAGAAAAGAAAATTAAGATTTCTGTTCACAGTGGGTTTTCTCATCTATTTAGTGTATTAGCACTGAACATGCACATCATGCCTTTCAGTTTCTGGATATTAATAGACTCGAAAAAGTACATAGAGAATGTTCAAAGATCATGCACTGTAGACAGAACAAGTTTTATCCCAGTAAGTCAAAATCTTTTCCTTGATACAGCTCAACTTCTGTAAATATTTTAAAATGTTTCAATTATTTTCTTTAAATATTGTAAACATGAGACATCAAGCATTCAAAATTACAACTGATAAGTCATGATGTTGCCACAAGGAAAAGTCATGGCAAAAGAGAAAAATCTTCTGGAAGTCTTTCGTTTCTTAACCCTCTTTGTGCTCTTGTATCTTCTAAAATAAATTACTGTAAGTCATTACTTATGAAGTTTCCTAAACAGATTTGATATTGTACAGATAATGTAAAAAGCACAATCTGATGAGAGAAATCATCGGCCTACAACATGTTCTCTGTAATTATATCTGTCATATCAGTAAAATCCTACAGGGTGTGCTTTAGGCTGGTGTATGCTACCAAACTATACTGAACGCAGTGAAACAATCCTCTCATTTTAAGTCAGATCTTTGACACAAGGCAGCTAGTAAATTATTTTACATGGCAAAATAGTCTAAATCCTTGTAATTTAAAACTATTATTTGTGTAAAGAAAGATATAACTTAATTTTATTTGGAAGGAGAATTACAACTGGAAAAGAGGATATAGTCAATCACAAGGATTCTCTCACTAGCAGGCCAGTCAGAGGCAATAAACATTTACAAGAAGGGCCAACAGGCAGGAGCTAATACACGGTGTCTTATCTCAGAAGTTTTGCATATATGAATACACTTTGCCTCCACAAGCCACATGTGGTTGGGCTAACCTTCATGTGAAAAGAAATAGTGAACTAGTTTACAAGATTATTCAACTGGAACATCTTTGAAATATTTAAAGTATATTGAAAATCCTGGAAAAAGTATAAAGCATATAGCAGTTACTAATGAGGGAGTATTTTACGGTTTGCTGGCTATCAGAAAGTACCCGTGAAATATATTGTCATTAAGTGATAATATCACTATGATGGTGTATTACAGAAAATATTTGGCTGTAAGTCTGAATAACCTTTTCCAAATATATTCTGTAGACACATATTATTATAAAAAGGCTTTAATTTAGCTATATGACAACGCATTCTAATAGAATATGCATAGTTAGTTTTCCCTTTTGGAAAGGTTTCATCCATTGCAGTTTATGTTTCTCTCTGCAGGATTTATTCACACAGTGATTTAATAATCATAGCCTTTTTCCTTTTCTGCCCAGAATAGTCTGCATTTCTATCACAAGCACTTTATTTTATCTCTTAAATTCAGTTTGCCACATTCTCAATTTATGTACCCACTGTGTACAGGATTTATACGTGTTTTGTGTTAAGTAATCTGCCTCACTAATCCTAATATGGATTTACATCTTTCAAAATGATGGATAAATTTGGATTTAATTTAAACCTTCTGACACTTATATTTTTCAGTCTGGTTTGTCAGCATTTGGCAACATGTTTTTTGGAAACGTCATCAAAAGTGCTATCTGTTTGCACACACAAGTCAGTAAAGATTTCACTTATTTAGAGTTTAGCCTTTTTCAAATGAACATTAAAATGTTCTTTAAAATGCCTAATTTTCATCTTCTATCTTTTTTAGTTGCAAGACAGTACTCTTCATTATGTCAAACTTCAACGATTTTCTCTTGAGCCTTTACAGATAACTGCCTCTCCCTATTTGCCATTTTCCTCTCAGCTGATTATGTTAAACCCGTAAACCACTCTTTCTGTACACCCTCTAATCCCTTTATCATCTTTGTTGCCCTTCTTGGGATTCCCTTCAGTCTGTCATTTTTAGCGCTCTGAGGCACGCACAGCTGTGCAAGGTATTCTCACGTATAACTGTTCCAAGGTTAGATGGAGTTAGGAATTATAACCTCCTTGGGTAATACACTATTCAGAGAGCAGTATGCCAGGCAGCAATTCACCAGGATACAAATGTGCCTTTTCCACGCTTTATCACCCTGCTGAAAGGCATTATATATACCAAAGCATAAAATAAACCCAAACTGCAGATAGATATATTTATGTAAATGTTATGGATGTAACACTAATAAAAACACAGGGTAAAATCCCAGCCCTCTGCAATCACAGGAATTTTTCTCGTTATCACCAGTGCGGTCAAGATTGCTACATAGGTTGGTGTCAGCCTTCTGATTTTTTAATCTGTCATTTTCAGTCAATTTGCTAGTACAAAATTGAGTTTGAATGTAATATATTTATAATATAGGGATGTGAATACTCTGAAAGACTCATTAATGAGTCTCTTTGACAAACTCTGATATAAAGGAAATTTATCTCACTGCAAAATCAAATTTCTAGTTCCTGCCTTCACCCCATTGAGATTTACAAAGGAATAACAGGGAACTAATCAAGTTCTTGAGATGAATAGTGGTGGACAATCTTGACATTGTGGCATGTAGAGCATTTCTCCCTTACCCTCAAAAAATCCTTTCATTTCACTGTAAGATTTCCCAAGTCATACTTTCCCTTTAACTTGGATTTCTTTGTTCTTCTGTTATTGTGATGTTTCTGCTACACCAGTGACTCTGTAATCATTGTAATATGCTTCCTCCTTCTTTACATTTTCTTTTTTTTAATATTTAAAAAACATTTTTCCCTTCTCCAGAATTTGCAACTATGGTGGCTGAATCATAAAGGCTTTGACCAATGCAAACCCTTCACCCATCCTTCACTGCCCAATTCCAACCACCTCCTGCTGACTGCTTTGGCTCCTGTTCTATTTATTTATGTTATTTTATACTCCAGCTCTGTTCTCTGCAATCCTGCAACTCTGTAATTGTGCTGAAAGACACTGTTAAAATAATAAAGGTCACATCAATCTGGGCTTTATTCTCTCTCACTAGAACTTGTTTCTTATTTCGTGTAGGCTTGGCACACGCTGAGAGAAAATTTTACTCTTTTTTGCTGACATCCCCGATGCTTTATCCATAGCTAGTGTAAAGTGGGAAGAAATTTTTAAAATTATTTGGGATAAAATATGCATATAATGAATCATCCAATCCAAGTTCTGAACTGTGGCAAAACTGACTTGCATTATTTTTAAGCCATCCCTTCTAAATGGATGCATACCCATAGCCTGGAAAATCTCTAGTGATGGCAATTACTCAACTTCATTTGGCAGTTTGCTCTTTCGATTTAATCGGTGTTACAGCTAAAAAGTATTTCCAATTATTGAACCTACACCTCCCCTGCTGCATTTTGGTGATCAGTAAATTGATCCTTGTCTGTATCATTTGCTAAATTTGCCCGGTGCAGGGGGATTTTTGGATGAAAGGTTTGATGGGAATATCAGTTGGTGCCAGTCATGCATGGGGATAACTTCATAAACCATTAAAAAGCGGTCACTACTGAAACACAGGATCTGTTTACTAACAGTGTTACACAACTATCTAAGACAGGAAGAATGGAATAACCACAAGAAACAGCAGCATGAATTTCAGTAAAGGCGACACCAAGATTCAGGTGTGATGTTGCTGTTGACAATCCCACTGCTAAAATAGTATATTAAAAAATCCCATCAAAAAACATTTCTTCTAAAACTTTGCCAGTGAATGAATATCTTGTTTTAAGTTACATATACGAAACTGAGACTCAAACTAAGGGAATGATCAACCAACAATAAGCCTATGACAGAGCCAAGAACATTTGTTTCCCAAATCCTGTTCCATAACTTTGGCACCAAGTTAATGCTTTTTATCTTTTTTTTTATTAGTATTATTATTATTATTGTTTTTAAAGCAAAGATTAAAAGGCACGGGGCGGGGGGTGGGGGGGTGGGCGTTGGATGGGAGGGAGGAAGAGGGAAGGGAAGTGGGAAATCCTTTTAGGCAACATTTTCCCCACATCTTGACAGAACACTGATTTCTACTGCAAGAAAAAGGAAAGATATTTGCTATTTCAAGATTCCAAACTATTCCCTGCAGCAATACTACCCTATTCCATTCAGACTTATCTCTAATTTAGTATAAACAAAAAGATAAGGTTGAAACCTTGTCACCATCACATTGTACAGAATACTACTCTGCTGCAGCGACTCCCCAATGCTACTTGGGAAGCCAATAAACACTCCCTAAAGCCATTCTAGATTTTCACTCCCTAGTAACTTACAAAGAAGACTTTTTGCTGAAGCTGCTGAGCGTTCAAAAGAAATCCTTTGGTTTTGCACAATATATATACGGATCTGAATAATGTATTGAATTTTAAGTATTCTAAATAAAGCGAATGAATACCGATTGCAACGAAGCGAGTTTGTTTACTTCTTTTTCTCGGCAGCTGCTGACCTCAAGTGGCCATAAGGCGCAATTACAAGAGTATGCAGGGCTATAGAAAAAAACATTGGGAAGCCAGCTATTGAAGTGTCATGAATGAAGGGCCACGCAATCCGAGAACGGACATAAACACCGCTATATCGACAAATCCCTTTATAGTCTCTTTCTATTCTTTGAACTTGCAAGGATTATGCTTCAATGAATGGCATGAAAGCTGGAATTTTATCCAGGGTTTTAACAAAAAAATAGCACAATAGAACAAATAGCAAATAAACACAGCCATTAATGAGTCTAAAAATTTATTTCTAGTACATTATATGAAATAAAGTAAGTCACAGTAACACTCATGGGGATATTTTAATGGCATAAATGTCTGAATACTCCAATGGTTCCTATATCAATCTTTCTGCCCATTATTCCCTCAGTCACGCCTGAACAAGCAACACTGAGTTCCTAATTTGGCCTGAAATTTTCCAGCTATATAGCAATTGATAAGATGAAAAGAAATATCCTGTAATTTCAAATTGAAAAAGTGACAATGGGTAGAGAGACCTCCAAAATGCCATCTTTACTTTTCATGGTGACAGTACCTGATATTTTAAACATGCATTTGGTCATTTTATTCAAATATACAATTGGTATACTCAGAATCTATGTAGTCAGAATTGTCATAAAATCTCTTTCAAACCCCTTTTTTTCCTCACTGTATTTTAAATTCAAAGTTCAAGGTTCAATATTTCATGCCTCTATCTCTGAAGATAAAAAAATACATTCAAACATGTATGTAATATAAATAAATTTCTGCCCAAACATAAAATGACTGTTTTATCAACTATCATCAAGCTGTTACCTATTTTTTAATTGCTGGCTTTTCATTGTTTATCTTAAATTCTTACTTTTCCCACCCAAATTCCTTCCAAACCTTCTCCAAATCTTGAACTGTTCCATTTCCAATTGACAAAAATTCTCAGCATTTTCCCCTTAGGTGGAAGTTATCTAGCCATGGGTTGAAATGCAGCAAACAAATGCAAAATTTTAAGTTACAATAAAATATGAGATAAAACATTATACATATAATATATTAAATTATTCATTTTCATATCGCTCTCATTTCCATGTCTTTAAGACTGTCACAGAAAGTACTGTAAAGAGTGAAGCAAGCAGAATTTGCTTCAAAATTCAATCAACCTTTCAGACAAGTGTGGATTCTAGTACGCTTGACAAATACAAAAAACACATTACCCTACAATGTACTATTTCATGAAGAAAGATGTTTAAATTTTCACATATGTAAGCAAAGGAACAAAATTTTTTCCAAGAAACATTTATCTTAATTTTCTTAATTGGCATCTTACATCTTCTTCTTTGACCTGAACAGTAAGTGTTCCGTAATTTTCTCCCCTGTTGTAATACAGTAAAAGTTATAAAAAAATAAATTAAAAAAACAAACAAACAAACAAAACAAAACACCTAAACAAACAAACAAACAAAAAAACAACAACCAAAACAACTCTAGGCCATAATGTTGAAGACAAAATTTAAAATTTTAAATAATCGGCACACATCCTTTCCTTAGATTCATAGCCAATGATTTGTAACAAGATACGACTGCATGATTTAAGATATGTAAATTATGTTTACACATACAAAAAAAGACACTGCTTGTTCACATTGGTATTGTAAATTGCTAGGAAAGAAATACAGCCTGCTCTCAGCTACAACTCAAAAGGAAGAAGAGCTTAATCCTCAAGTCATAGACAAATCATAATTTCCTGACAAATTATGTTAACATTTAACAAAAAGAAGGGTGTGTACCAACAGACCATCACCAACTCTTAAAAATTTCTCTGATCACCTTTTACCATTACCAAACCCTTAGCCAACAAATTCATAATTGTTTATGTTTGAAGGGTCCTGCCAAGCTCTTAATGGAGTTTCATGGATCAGCAATTTTCCACATGTCTTATTTTGGGAACCAGTGGACTGGAGGCCATAACACCTGTTCACTTTGCAGAAGATGATCTAGGATTTACATTTACAGTCTATCCACCAGTCCTGAGCTTAACACTGCCTGATGTCCTATGATTGCTTCCACACTTTGTTCACTTCATCAAAGCAAAACTTGCTTGTTTGCTTGTCTTTTCTGACTTTCCATCTTTTGAGGGGAAAGTAAGGACACATTTCCCTAGTTTCTAAATACTTCTGAAGATGGGCAATGCAGTTCATGTTCTCCTTTTCAGAAACACGCACGTAGTTTTATCAAAGCCTCTGTGCTATAGTATCTAAACATTAACAATATTCTGTCCAAAACAGAGTTATTATTGTTATGGGCTTAAAATTGCAGCATTGTACAATATTTGCGACAAGTTCTGCCTAACAAAATAACATAAAAGACTATGAATTTATCCAAGGTTCACTAAAGACACAAATTAGCCCACAAAATTTTTATTAATGAGCATAAAGCACAAAAGAACTTCATTTGACTCTAAAATCCCAAATTGAGATTTAAGGGGTCAACAGATAGAGAACACATTCTTTTATTTATAAATCAATTGCAAATGAAAGATAAATTATATGGCATGCATTAACACTCCAAAACTGAGCTGTGGTTAAAGCATGTGCTGACATTCTTGTTCTAACACCACCCAGGAACCACGGGTAACACAGATACAAGAGCTTTAGCACATGCCAGTGATTAAAATACCTCCTCTAGGTCCTGGACTCTCACCTAGGTAACATGTGCTTGAACCTGAGCAGCTGCACCTTCATTCTGAGAGAGTATTTTAGCAGATTATTTTTTCCAAAGAGACACACCCTTTAGAAATCTCAACACTCTCTAGAGCTCCAACATTTAAAACAACGTTTCTCCTAAACAAGAGAGAGTGAAGCCAAATGTGTCCAAAGGGGGTTAGCTGTGTGCATGAGAGATCAATCATCAAAACTTTCCCAGACTGTAGGATCTCCTACCGTGAGATAATTACTTCACAAGGGAGGAAGTACATTTCTGGTTAGTGCTCTTCTGGTTAATAAAGTAACAGAGCTGGTTGATACATTTTCAAAGACAGAAGTTAATATAAATACAGAGTCCCTTCTCCATCCACCAGAAAAATAGAAGGGACTGCATGAGTTAAAACAACAAACAGATCAGAAGATCCAAATAAAAATACTCAAAGGCACTTAATAAGCCCATGGAACATGCAACTGGAAAGGACTTCTTTTCATAAACTCATTCAGTCTTCCACCTAGGACAATCTAAGCGAAAGGATCCTGTCAGTGTCTGAATCAGGATGTCCAACTTCTATCGCAACAACAGTTTTTTCATTCTAGGTGATGCTCGTCTGAGCAATTAATGGTTCACGTACAAAACTACAGTTGGTTTCACTGGTGTTACAGTGGCACAACACTGACAGGCATTAACAAATGGATGCTCAGGCCTTCGGGTGGTAACAACACGGTAACTCTCCCAGCTTTGCCGCTAAAGCTTCTACAGGTTGGAAGAGGCACAGGACCAGAGGGCAAATGTTTAACCAGTGATTACGGGAGGGAAGGTCCATGGGTTGC